TAAACCTTAAACCCCAAACCCTTTGACACACCACGCCGTTTTGGCATCGGAAGACAGACCTTACCCGCCTGGTGAGTGGGTGAAGGTTTTAGACTATAATCTCGTCGGGATAACTTCAATAATGGCACTCCAAACCCCCAGGCAACTTTTTACTATTCCAGGTTAAGGCTTCTAAAGGCTTTGGGTTTCAGGTTTCGTTTAGGGTCTAGTGTTTAGGACGAGCTTCGACTTGAAATGATAGGTATTTACTATAGAAGCAGTTCATGACACAGGCAGAATCAGAAAGCTCCTCTTATCCCGGAAGCGTCTCCAGTCTTGCTGCGATGCGAAAGCTCATCCAAACATCACTTCAGGTCACAGTGAAAGAGCGCCCGCTACTTGCAAACACACACACACACACATATCTATACTAGAGCGGCATATGCACTTTCAACCCTCGAAAGACTCGAAGCCCAACTATGCTACTGCTACGGTGGTTTCACAAGAGCTATGGCACTCTTAAGCCTACACCGTGTTCATCCCCCATCTAAGAAGTCGCACTGCGTGCAGTGCGAGCGATTGCAAAACTCACAGTCTTGCATGGACTGTGCTGACATGAAGATCAGATCCTTCGGATCTACTTATCGGCAGATGCCTTCTTTGCCTTCGGGCCTTTGGCCTTGCGCTTAGGGGCTTTGTCCTTATTCTTCTTGCTCTGCTTCAATCCTTTGAGGATCGAGTTTGCAGCATTCTCAGCCTTCTCAAACCAAGAGTGGCGCTCGTCCAGGATGCTGTACAACTTGATGTACCAAGACTCTTCCGTCTTGGCCTTCAAAGCCTTTTGGAGAGACTGGTAATGCTTCTCCAAGACATTGGCATGGTCCATCAAGTGGCGGCTCAGCTCGCCCGTGTACTCCACTTCCTGAAGCTTCAAGCTGAGAGCTCGAGCCTGCGTCGATTCATTCAAGACGTCGTGCATGCGTTCGGCGGCAAGCCTCGGCTCGAGGGGCTGTTAACGCGTAGTAGTAGTAGTAGTAGTAGTAGTAGTAGTGGTAGTAGTAGTAGTAGTAGTAGTAGTAGTAGTCTAGTAGTAGTAGTAGTAGTCTAGTAGTAGTAG